CTCGTATGGCTTGAAGGAGTGTTCTTCCTTGAGAACCGTGTGAGTGGCCCCACTGTCGAGGGTGAACTCTATTGTGGCTGAGGTGTTTTGTAAGCCGGGACACTGCGAAATTGTCTCATTAATCATGGCAGTGCCAGGGAACAACATGTTGAGGCGCACATCAGCAGGTGCAGCCACAGCAGCCTGCACGGATTCCTGCGCTTCGACTTGATTGACCTTGAGAGGAGCACGATTGACCATCCAGCTTGGCGGCTTCGAGGCGGTCCCATTGACTGCATACCACTCGTCATCCTTCTTCTTAAAGCAGGAGGCAAGGGCGTGGTTGGTGCCGCCACACACCTGGCCAGCACGAGGGCCGCGCTTGATGACGTAGGGACACGGGGGGAAGCGGTTGCGCTGGAAAGGCGCCGAAGCGGCATAGGCTTGAGGCACGGGAGCGCGGATTGCATTGGCCTTGGCTTGAGCGCTGTTGTCCTTTTCGGCAGAAAGGAGCGCAGATGAGACCTTGGCAAATGTGAGGTCCGCAGGAGCAAGGCTCAAGAGCATCTTGCGTGTGACTTCGTATGCCGGAGTGAGGCCGACTAGGAGAGCGGCTGCAGGGGCTTGCTCGGGGAAGACTATCCCCAACTGCTTGAGTTCACCATGAATGGACTGCACCTTAAAGACATAGTCCGCCATGCCTGGCGAGTCCTCGAGCTGCACTTGGAACATGCTGGGGATGAGTATAGTAACTCCCACTGCAGTCTTGTTCAGGAAGCGGTCTTCGAGGTAGAGCCAAATGGCGTTGCCAGACGGGTTGTTGTGGTAGGTTTTGAGAAGTTCGGGAGGAGTGGTGCCCATGAAGACACTAATGACCAAACCATCGGCCTTCTCCCAGTTTTTGTACTTGAGCAGTGCAGCAGCGTAAACTGCTTCCGCGGCGGCATTAGCTGAATTGGCAGACCTCTCGGGTGTAGGAGGCTCTTTGCCGTCACCAATGTTGAGAAGAACGTCGGTGAGCTCGAGCCCCTTTACCTCGCGACTGAGGAGGTGCTTGTCGACACCATAGCGCCAAGCCTTGTAGTTGGAGCATGTACCGTCCTGCTCGAGACGAAGAAGCGGGATTGGGTTGGCGAGCGAAGTGAGTGAGTAAGCTATTTCCGTATGATTTTTGCGAGGCGACGCTCTTAAGTCACCGATTAGAACTTCGGTGCACAGCGCAGCACTTCTGGAAAACGGTCGACAAGAATTGCTGAAAATCACTCAGACGGCTTTGCCGAAATGCCGCTAAGAAGGAAATGGCGTCGGCGGGAATTTGTTTAAACACCGACTTGAAACAAAATCTGAGCCTAAGTCTAATCTCGGACCCACACACCCCCCCACACACCCCGAGGCCCTGTCCCGCAGCTACACAGCTCCGCAACCAGTTCCGCTTCCACCTGTGTACTTGCTCTTGCTTGACGCGAGACGTTCGTGGAGGCGATTCTGCGAGGGGAGTTCGCCTATGCTGGCGGGGTTGAGAGGAAACTCGAAAACGAGTTTTAAGAGATGGTCGAAATTGAAATTCGACCAAGGAGAACCGAGGAGGAAATCGACGATGAGAAGCGTGAAAGCTTCACAGATGAGAAATTCAAAGAGGTCGAGCGCGAAGGCGGTCGACAATGAGAGGCGCGACTGCTGAGTGGAGCACGTCGAAAATTCCGACGACTCGAAACAAATGTCGCGACGATGAAGTGCGCGTAGCGCGGGCACGTTAAGATTAGGACCTTGATCCGCGTGTGCGGATAGGTCGCTCTGATACCACGTAAGAAATAGAGCTGAAATGATCGATTAGGTAAGAAGCCCAAGGCTCTTTAAGTACATGGCAAGGTAAGGGAGAATGGATGAAGGGGGAATCGGAGGGAATCCCTTTTGGGATCTTCGGAATCTCCAATTGGGTAATTGGAGATTGGGGGGATCACAATTGGGTGAGGTTGGGATTTGTGAGTACACCCCAACCCATTAGAAGATTCCTAACCTAAACTAGGATATAAAAGTACAAATACAAAAGTGGGATTTGCAATCTATTTCTAACAATGAGTTCACTCTACGGGGTGGGGGGTGGGAAACTGAACTCGAAAGTTCGAAAATGAAAACGTGGGTGAGGCCAAATGACCGAACGACCCTTTTTTGTAGTTGGAGAAGGGCGAGTAGCGCTTCGACGCTGCCATTTTGCGCTGCGTACATGCTGATGCGCTTTCACAAGAAGTAATTTTAGAAAGTGTAACACTTTCTAAAATGTAAGCTTTAAAGCCCCAAAATAAGATAGCAAATCCACTTTCAAATTGGGCCCAACTTGAACAAGTGAAGGGGCTTGATGTGAAGGAGAGTTGGGGCTTTTGTTTTGGACAGCTGGTTGTGTTTGAAATGCACTCGGAAGCAGTTTGTGTACGAAAATGATCGACTTTCAGATGGCATTCTGGATGGCATCACCCCTGAATTTGCGGCCCTCTTGCGAGTTTAGGGTTGATGCCAGGGCGAACTTCGATTTCCCTCACATTATGGCTGGACCCCTATTCAGGTTGGCTCACTTTTGCAATCTGGGCTAGAAACAGCAGAATTTTGTCGCGCACTGTTGTGGCAGTTGGAACCCCTTGGGTAACATCCAGCCCTTTACACTAGTTGGTGTTGGTTAGAGAAGGCTATAAGCAGATGATTCAATGGCTCCTCGGAAATTTCTGCAGCACTTCGTTATGACGTCCAGAAAACTCGCGACCTTCGAAAAGCTATATCCAAAACTCCAATCGGTGAAACAATCTGAAAATCGGATATGTTGTAGCTTGCAGCGTCAGCTTTCCACTGAAAGTTAAATCACTTGATTTCGTAGCTTAACGAGCGAGCTATGGCGTTTGGCGCACTGGGGGGTAATCTGCCCTAGGAGAAGTTAACAATCCTCAGAGTCACTATAACTGAAGATTACAAGTTCAGACGCATGATAGAAAAGGCATTGAAGCACAGTTGGAAGGTAGGGATGGAAGGGAAGGATGAAAGAGAAGGACCCTGGAGGCCCATGGTCAAGAACATGACAAGAGTCAAAGTCTTGACTCCCCATCCTCAGGTTCAGCCAGCCTGGCAAGACAAAATTCACACTGTACCAGGTTGGCCTCCAAACCCCAAATGCTGCAGCTGCAGGGTGGGGACAAGAGTCCCACACATGCTGGTCCCTCCTCGTTATAGGGCTCTCCAACTTTGGTGTAGCAGCTGACAAGGACTTCCAATGAGTTGTAACAAATCCATCAAACATTTCTTCGTAACTTCTTCATATGTGCTCCGATTCCAACAATTCTTGGCTCGTTGGAATGTGCTCGATGTCATGCACAATCCAAGCACATCTGCACAAGCACAAGATGAACATGCAAAGACATGCAAACCCAACAAACCATACAAACAATGTAGCACACAAAACACATGCAACGAAATGATGCGAACAGACGATAGGATGACGTGCAAACGAATATGCACCAACACACTCCCCCTCAGACTGTCGGCTTGTTTCGCCGTCTCTAGTTCAAGGACATTCCCGCCATCCTCGCACAGCGCCAGTGTGGCTCTTCAGCTAGCCGCTTGGTAAGGAAGTCGGCTGGCTGTTGCTGAGTTTTCACGTAGATCGGATCCAGTGTCCCAAGCTTCACCTCCTTCCGCAGCCAATGCCACTTGATCCTCATGTGCTTGTTCAACCCATGAAGAACTGCATTGCGTGCCATGGCAATGGCTCCCTTACTGTCATTGAACAGAGGTGTCGCACAAGTCTGTTCATGGCCGATCTCCCTCAAGAGCCTCCTTAGCTAGATGATTTCTTTTGCCGCATGAAACATTGCCATGTACTCAGATTCCACTGAAGATAGTGCCGTTTCAGACTGCTTCTTGGACCTCCAACTTACAGGCCCACCTCCCACCATGCAGATGTATCCACCAACTGATGATGAATCCTCATGCTCAGAAGCCCACGTGGCATCAGCAAAACAGGAAAGGAACACCTTTCCTTCTCCGAGCTGCTCCCCCTTCTCTTGAAGGACTTCAACTCCTTTTTGCCTGAGTTGAGCAGAGGCTGAATACTGTACTCCCACTGTAGGGTATGACTTGAGGTAGCGCACCACTCTCTCCGCTGCACCAACTGCTCTTCTGTTGGATTTTGCACTACTCGAGCCAGCTGTCCCACAGCAAAGCTGATGTCAGGCCGAGTATGCACAGCAGCGTAGAGTAGGCTCCCGACCATGGATTGGAATTGCCTCTGGTCTTCACTTTCAACTCCTTCTCCTTCAGCTGCCTTTATGAGTTTGAACTCGGAAGGCAAAGGTGTGACCACTTCCCGTTCTTCCTGCAGAGAGTACTTCTCAGCCAAGGTGTTGATGTACTGTCCCTGATGCAGTTTGAGCCAGCCACGTTCAGTATCCCGCTCAATGTGCATTCCCAGGTAGTACCTTGCCTCTCCAAGTGACTTGCACTTGAACTGCTCTGTGAGCTTCCGCTGCACCCCATCGATCTCCTTGTCACTGCTGCTGAAGAGCAGGATGTCATCCATGTATACCAGCAGAAGCACAAGCGACTCCCCCTCGCCCATCAGGAATAGGCTCTCGTCGCATGCACTCGCACGGAATCCAATCCCTTCCAGTGCACTGGCCAGCCTGTTGTACCAGCATCTCGGGGCCTGCTTCAAGCCATAGATGGCCTTGTTAAGTTTGCAGACACGACCGGTTCCATCCTCATAGCCAGGTGGTTGAACCATGTACACCTCCTCTTCCACAATGTTGGTTAGAGAAGGCTAGAAGCAGATGATTCAATGGCTCCTTGGAAATTTCTGCAGCACTTCGTTATGACGCCCAGAAAACTCGCGACCTTCGAAAAGCTATATCCAAAACTCCAATCGATGAAACGATCTGAAAATCGGATATGTTGTAGCTTGCAGCGTCAGCTTTCCTCTGAAAGTTGAATCAATTGATTCCGTAGCTTATCGAGTGAGCTATGGCGTTTGGCGCACTGGGGGGTAATCTGCCCTAGGAGAAATTGACAGTCCTCAGAGTCACTATAATAGAAGCTTACAAGTTCAGAGACATGATGGAAAAGGCATTGAAGCATAGTTGGAAGGTGGGGTGGGAAGGGAAGGATGAAAGGGAAGGACCCTGGAGGCCCTTAGTCAAGAACATGACAAGAGTCAAAGTCTTGACTCCCCATCCTCAGGTTCAGCCAGCCTGGCAAGACAAAATTCACACTGTGCCAGGTTGGTCTCCAAACCCCAAGTGCTGCAGCTGCAAGGTGGGGACAAAAGTCCCACACATGCTGGTCCCTCCTCGTTTTAGGGCTCTCCAACTTTGGTGTAGCAGCTGCCAAGGACTTCCAATGAGTTGTAACAAATCCATCAAACATTTCTTCGTAACTTCTTCATATGTGCTCCGATTCCAACAATTCTTGGCTCGTTGGAATGCGCTCGATCTGATGTACAATCCAAGCACATCTGCACAAGCACAAGATGAATATGCAAAGACATGCAAACCCAACAAACCACACAAACAACGTAGCACACAAAACACATGCAACGAAATGATGCGAACAGACGACAGGATGACGTGCAAACGAATATGCACCAACACACAATGCCGTACAGAAAAGCGGTTACGATGTCCATCTGCTTCACCTTCCATTTGCGCACAGCAGCTACCGCCAGCAGCACACGTAGCGTTGGAGACTTAGCAGTTGGGGCAAACACTTCTTTGTAATCTTCCTTCTCTTTCTGCTGAAACCCCTTTGCCACCAGCCTGCTCTTGTAAACTGATGGCTCTCCTTTCTCATCCGTCTTGATTTTTGCCAGCCACTTGCACTGTATTGCCTTCTTCCCATTTGGCAAGTACACCAGGTCCCATGTGTGGTTCTCCATCTGGCTGTTGTACTCTGCATCTCTTGAAACGAGCCATTTCCCCCGTTGAGGCCCGGCTAGCGCATGATCCATGCCTGGAGGTTGTATTGGTGCGTAAAAGCAGTATGCAGGCTCTTCGTCATCTGACTCTTGGTCATCACCCAAGAACAGCACTGTATCTTCGCCTTGAGCCTGTTCCTGCTGCTCAGTTGTGGCTCCTTCACTTGTAGAGCTCAGCAGCTTTCTTGTTGCCATTCTGGTACGTGCAGGGTAGATGGTTGGATTTACCCATTCTTTCACCTTCACCCAATCCTTTATCCCCCCACCAATCTGTTTCCTTCGCTTTGGCAGACTTGGTGTTTTGGAAGCCTCTTGCTGCTGCTGCTCCGGATCCTTGACTTCAGCATCAGCTGCAATATCCTCATTGCTTCCTTCATCAGTACCGCTTGCCGTTGGCGCAGTGACTTCGCTGTCCTCAGGTTCGGACAAATCGAAGTGCATAGTGATCTCTTCCAGCTGCTGGGTGACCCTTGCCTCTGGCTGCTTCTCCCACTTGCCATACATGATGTTCTTCACAAATTTGACATCCCGACTGTCAAACAGCACATTCTTTGAGGGCTCCCAGAGTAGCCACCCCTTGCTCTCTGCCGCAAGCCCAAGGTGCACACACCACAGTGCAGATGCTCCAAGCTTTGTCCTGTACGGTTTAGGGACATGCGCCACTGCCATGCATCCGAACACTCTGAGCATGTCCACTGGAGGCTTCTTTCCAAGCCACCTCTCCAGCGGCACCCACATATCATCAGCTACCTTTGTGAGTACGCGGTTCCTTGCCACTGTAGCATGCCTCACCGCATGAGGCCACATGGAGTTCCCCAGCCCTGATTCGATCAGCAGCGCTCGCGCAGTTTCCAGGATGGTCCTATTAGCCCTCTCAGCAACGCCATTTGACTGAGGGGTATAGGACGTCGTTAGCTGATGCTCAATGCCTTGTTTCTTGAGCCACGCAGTCAGATCTCCTCCTAGAAACTCTCCACCTCGGTCGGTTCTGATGCTCTTGCATGGGTGCCCAGATTGTCGCTCGAAGAACGGCAGCCAGTCATCTCGTATTGTTGAGGCAGCATGATCCTTCTGCTTCAACGGGTATGCCCACATCAGCCGACTCCAGTCATCAACTATTGTCTGGAAGTACCTTTCCCCCTTACTTCCTCGAACTGGAAAATGTCCTACCAGGTCCATGTGCACCAGTTCCAGTGCTGCCTTGCTTTTCCCAGCTACGCCGTGAAAGGGGAACCGTGTGAACTTGCTCAGCAGACACGTCTCGCACTTGGTATCATTTGGTTGCCCAGAAAGCTTCAGCCCCTTTACTGCTTCTTCCTTATGCAGTTGCTGCAGCAATGGCATAGCCACATGCCCTAGACGCCTGTGTGCGGTTTCCCAATCAGTCTCCCCCGACCTTGCAGAAACCGTCACTCCTGCAGCACTAACTGCATTGCACTCCCCCTGGACTCCAGATCCCGCCTTTACTACTCCCAGCTCCTTCTTTGTTGATTCCCATATCAGCGCAGGGATGTGCCACATGGATCTGAAGACATCCCTGCTTTCGTGTAAATCCCATAACACACGATCTCCTCGCAGCCCCTTGAATGTTTTGGATCCATTGGTGGTGGTGCTGACTCCGGCCTGGCCTAGCTTGCGCAGCGATATCAGATTGGCCTTCAGCCCCGGTACGAGTAACACATCCTTCAGCACAACCAGTCCACCATCAGGTGCTCTGAATGCAGCTCGACCAACTCCAGCGACCTTCACTGCATGTCCGGATGCTGAGCGCACTTCAGAGATTGGAGGCGCTCGCACAGCATCCAGCAAATCCTTGCGTGGTGTCATTGTCCATGCAGCACCAGAGTCCATGACCCACATGTCAAGCGGGTGCAATTCCTCTCCAGCCCTTGCAACAGCTGTACCACTGTCATCTTTGTCACACACATGGTAGAACTGTCCAGCATTCCTCTCCTCATTTCCCATTCCTCTGTCATCCTTGGAGGTTTCTTCAGCAGGATCAGCTACCATGTTGGCACCTCCACGTGGTTGCTTTCCTCCATTCCCCTTTTGCGATTGGTTCCAAGGGGTCCACCAGTCGGGCTTGGTAGAGCAGCGAAACCATGGATGCCCTTCTTCCTTGCAATACCAGCACTCTCCCCTCAAGCGTGGTTCACTGTTGTCATTGTTCGAGTGACCACCTCTTCCTCTTGCACCAGCGCCACCACGCCCTCGCTGGTTCCAAGTCCCGCGACCACCTTGGCTGTAGTAAGAGCGACCGCGATTGCCACGCCCTCGATCCCTCCATGTCCCTTGCATGGCATAGCCGCTGGTGCTGTCATCACCTCCGCGCAGTGTGTAGTGACGAAAATCTTCTTCCAGGATCTTGGTGCGAATCCACTCCAATGTCCATTGACTTTGGTTTTGTGGCAAGCTGAGTCCGCTTATAAATTGCAGCCAAGACTCGGGCAGCAGGCTGAGCATCTTGAGACACTTAGTCTGCTCAGGGTACGTGATGCCCGCAATCGCCAATTTCGCGTAGAGTTCCCTCATCTTGTCCAGAACGGGCTGCACAGGTTCATTCTTGCTCAACCGCAGCATGGACAGCTCCCGATCCAGCATGAGAGAAGCAGCAACCGATGTCGGAGCGTGCAGGTCCTTGAGCACTGCCCATGCCTTGGGCCCACAATCAGTTTCCGGTAGCAGATGCATGATGTGATGCCTCTGGTTCAGCTCCAAGCTTTGTGACAGTAGATAATACCCAGCAGATGAACGTTCATCCCAGTCCGCTTGCTCTGCCATTTCCTTTGGCCTGGGCTCCGTTCCAATCATGAGCTTCAAGAGGCCAATTTGTCGAAAGTAGAGCTGCATCTTCCATGCCCAATCATCATAGCCATCTCCAGAGAACTTCTCAATGGTGAAGTTCTTCAGCACTTCCTTAAGCAGTGACCCCTGGCTTGTACGCGCTCCCCTTTGCGCTGCAATGCCAGAATCTTGGGTTGAGCTGCCTCCTTGGACTGAAGTATCACCTCCACCAGAGTCCTCCTTATCTCCCATCGTAATTTAGGTCCCAAATGCGTGATAATGGGCTCTGATACCACTTGTTGGTTAGAGAAGGCTAGAAGCAGATGATTCAATGGCTCCTTGGAAATTTCTGCAGCACTTCGTTATGACGCCCAGAAAACTCGCGACCTTCGAAAAGCTATATCCAAAACTCCAATCGATGAAACGATCTGAAAATCGGATATGTTGTAGCTTGCAGCGTCAGCTTTCCTCTGAAAGTTGAATCAATTGATTCCGTAGCTTATCGAGTGAGCTATGGCGTTTGGCGCACTGGGGGGTAATCTGCCCTAGGAGAAATTGACAGTCCTCAGAGTCACTATAATAGAAGCTTACAAGTTCAGAGACATGATGGAAAAGGCATTGAAGCATAGTTGGAAGGTGGGGTGGGAAGGGAAGGATGAAAGGGAAGGACCCTGGAGGCCCTTAGTCAAGAACATGACAAGAGTCAAAGTCTTGACTCCCCATCCTCAGGTTCAGCCAGCCTGGCAAGACAAAATTCACACTGTGCCAGGTTGGTCTCCAAACCCCAAGTGCTGCAGCTGCAAGGTGGGGACAAAAGTCCCACACATGCTGGTCCCTCCTCGTTTTAGGGCTCTCCAACTTTGGTGTAGCAGCTGCCAAGGACTTCCAATGAGTTGTAACAAATCCATCAAACATTTCTTCGTAACTTCTTCATATGTGCTCCGATTCCAACAATTCTTGGCTCGTTGGAATGCGCTCGATCTGATGTACAATCCAAGCACATCTGCACAAGCACAAGATGAATATGCAAAGACATGCAAACCCAACAAACCACACAAACAACGTAGCACACAAAACACATGCAACGAAATGATGCGAACAGACGACAGGATGACGTGCAAACGAATATGCACCAACACACAATGCCGTACAGAAAAGCGGTTACGATGTCCATCTGCTTCACCTTCCATTTGCGCACAGCAGCTACCGCCAGCAGCACACGTAGCGTTGGAGACTTAGCAGTTGGGGCAAACACTTCTTTGTAATCTTCTTTCTCTTTCTGCTGAAACCCCTTTGCCACCAGCCTGCTCTTGTAAACTGATGGCTCTCCTTTCTCATCCGTCTTGATTTTTGCCAGCCACTTGCACTGTATTGCCTTCTTCCCATTTGGCAAGTACACCAGGTCCCATGTGTGATTCTCCATCTGGCTGTTGTACTCTGCATCTCTTGAAACGAGCCACTTCCCCCGTTGAGGCCCGGCTAGCGCATGATCCATGCTCGGAGGTTGTATTGGTGCGTAAAAGCAGTATGCAGGCTCCTCGTCATCTGACTCTTGGTCATCACCCAAGAACAGCACTGCATCTTCGCCTTGAGCCTGTTCCTGCTGCTCAGTTGTGGCTCCTCCACTTGTAGAGCTCAGCAGCTTTCTTGTTGCCATTCTGGTACGTGCAGGGTAGATGGTTGGATTTATCCATTCTTTCACCTTCACCCAATCCTTTGTCCCCCCACCAATCTGTTTCCTTCGCTTTGGCAGACTTGGTGTTTTGGAAGCCTCTTGCTGCTGCTGCTCCGGATCCTTGACTTCAGCATCAGCTGCAATATCCTCATTGCTTCCTTCATCAGTACTGCTTGCCGTTGGCGCAGTGACTTCGCTGTCCTCAGGTTCGGACAAATCGAAGTGCATAGTGATCTCTTCCAGCTGCTGGGTGACCCTTGCCTCCGGCTGCTTCTCCCACTTGCCATACATGATGTTCTCCACAAATTTGACATCCCGACTGTCAAACAGCACATTCTTCGAGGGCTCCCAGAGTAGCCACCTCTTGCTCTCTGCCGCAAGTCCAAGGTGCACACACCACAGTGCAGATGCTCCAAGCTTTGTCCTGTACGGTTTAGGGACATGCGCCACTGCCATGCATCCGAACACTCTGAGCATGTTCACTGGAGGCTTCTTTCCAAGCCACCTCTCCAGCGGCACCCACATATCATCAGCCACCTTTGTGAGTACGCGGTTCCTTGCCACTGTAGCATGCCTCACCGCATGAGGCCACATGGAGTTCCCCAGCCCTGATTCGATCAGCAGCGCTCGCGCAGTTTCCAGGATGGTCCTATTAGCCCTCTCAGCAACGCCATTTGACTGAGGGGTATAGGACGTCGTTAGCTGATGCTCAATGCCTTGTTTCTTGAGCCACGCAGTCAGATCTCCTCCTAGAAACTCTCCACCTCGGTCGGTTCTGATGCTCTTGCATGGGTGCCCAGATTGTCGCTCGAAGAACGGCAGCCAGTCATCTCGTATTGTTGAGGCAGCATGATCCTTCTGCTTCAACGGGTATGCCCACATCAGCCGACTCCAGTCATCAACTATTGTCTGGAAGTACCTTTCCCCCTTACTTCCTCGAACTGGAAAATGTCCTACCAGGTCCATGTGCACCAGTTCCAGTGCTGCCTTGCTTTTCCCAGCTACGCCGTGAAAGGGGAACCGTGTGAACTTGCTCAGCAGACACGTCTCGCACTTGGTATCATTTGGTTGCCCAGAAAGCTTCAGCCCCTTTACTGCTTCTTCCTTATGCAGTTGCTGCAGCAATGGCATAGCCACATGCCCTAGACGCCTGTGTGCGGTTTCCCAATCAGTCTCCCCCGACCTTGCAGAAACCGTCACTCCTGTAGCACTAACTTTTTTGCACTCCCTCTGGACTCCAGATCCCGCCTTTACTGCTCCCAACTCCTTCTTTGTTGATTCCCATATCAGCGCAGGGATGTGCCACATGGATCTGAAGACATCTCTGCTTTCGTGTAAATCCCATAACACACGATCTCCTCGCAGCCCCTTGAATGTTTTGGATCCATTGGTGGTGGTGCTGACTCCGGCCTGGCCTAGCTTGCGCAGCGATATCAGATTGGCCTTCAGCCCCGGTACGAGTAACACGTCCTTCAGCACAACCAGTCCACCATCAGGTGCTCGGAATGCAGCTCGACCAACGCCAGCGACCTTCACTGCATGTCCGGATGCTGAGCGCACTTCGGAGATTGGAGGCGCTCGCACAGCATCCAGCAAGTCCTTGCGTGGTGTCATTGTCCATGCAGCACCAGAGTCCATGACCCACATGTCAAGCGGGTGCAGTTCCTCTCCAGCCCTTGCAACAGCTGTGCCACTGTCATCTTTGTCACACACATGGTAGAACTGTCCAGCATTCCTCTCCTCATTTCTCAATCCTCTGTCATCCTTGTAGGTTTCTTCAACAGGATCAGCTACCATGTTGGCACCTCCACGTGGTTGCTTTCCTCCATTCCCCTTTTGCGATTGGTTCCAAGGGGTCCACCAGTCGGGCTTGGTAGAGCAGCGAAACCATGGATGCCCTTCTTCCTTGCAATACCAGCACTCTCCCCTCAAGCGTGGTTCACTGTTGTCATTGTTGGAGTGACCACCTCTTCCTCTTGCACCAGCGCCACCACGCCCCCGCTGGTTCCAAGTCCCGCGACCACCTTGGTTGTAGTGGGAGCGACCGCGATTGCCACGCCCTCGATCCCTCCATGTCCCTTGCATGGCATAGCCGCTGGTGCTGTCATCACCTTCGCGCAGTGTATAGCGACGAAAATCTTCTTCCAGAATCTTGGTGCGAATCCACTCCAATGTCCATTGACTTTGGTTTTGTGGCAAGCTGAGTCCACTTATAAATTGCAGCCAAGACTCGGGCAGCAGGCTGAGCATCTTGAGACACTTAGTCTGCTCAGGGTACGTGATGCCTGCAATCGCCAATTTCGCGTAGAGTTCCCTCATCTTGTCCAGTACGGGCTGCACAGGTTCATTCTTGCTCAACCGCAGCATGGACAGCTCCCGATCCAGCATGAGAGAAGCGGCAACCGATGTCGGAGCGTGCAGGTCCTTGAGCACTGCCCATGCCTTGGGCCCACAATCAATTTCCGGTAGCAGATGCATGATGTGATGCCTCTGGTTCAGCTCCAAGCTTTGTGACAGTAGATAATACCCAGCAGATGAACGTTCGTCCCAGTCCGCTTGCTCTGCCATTTCCTTTGGCCTGGGCTCCGTTCCAATCATGAGCTTCAAGAGGCCAATTTGTCGAAAGTAGAGCTGCATCTTCCATGCCCAATCGTCATAGCCATCTCCAGAGAACTTCTCAATGGTGAAGTTCTTCAGCACCTCCTTAAGCAGTGACCCCTGGCTTGTATGCGCTCCCCTTTGCGCTGCAATGCCAGAATCTTGGGTTGAGCTGCTTCCTTGGACTGAAGTATCATCTCCACCAGAGTCCTCCTTATCTCCCATCGTAATTTAGGTCCCAAATGCGTGATAATGGGCTCTGATACCACTTGTTGGTTAGAGAAGGCTATAAGCAGATGATTCAATGGCTCCTTGGAAATTTCTGCAGCACTTCGTTATGACGTCCAGAAAACTCGCGACCTTCGAAAAGCTATATCCAAAACTCCAATCGGTGAAACGATCTGACAATCAGATATGTTGTAGCTTGCAGCGTCAGCTTTCCATTGAAAGTTAAATCACTTAATTCCGTAGCTTAACGAGCGAGCTATGGCGTTTGGCGCACTGGGGGGTAATCTGCCCTAGGAGAAGTTGACAATCCTCAGAGTCACTATAATTGAAGATTACAAGTTCAGAGGCATGATAGAAAAGGCATTGAAGCACAGTTGGAAGGTAGGGATGGAAGGGAAGGATGAAAGGGAAGGACCCTGGAGGCCCATGGTCAAGAACATGACAAGAGTCAAAGTCTTGACTCCCCATCCTCAGGTTCAGCCAGCCTGGCAAGACAAAATTCACACTGTACCAGGTTGGCCTCCAAAACCCAAATGCTGCAGCTGCAGGGTGGGGACAAGAGTCCCACACATGCTGGTCCCTCCTCGTTATAGGGCTCTCCAACTTTGGTGTAGCAGCTGACAAGGACTTCCAATGAGTTGTAACAAATCCATCAAACATTTCTTCGTAACTTCTTCATATGTGCTCCGATTCCAACAATTCTTGGCTCGTTGGAATGTGCTCGATGTCATGCACAATCCAAGCACATCTGCACAAGCACAAGATGAACATGCAAAGACATGCAAACCCAACAAACCATACAAACAATGTAGCACACAAAACACATGCAACGAAATGATGCGAACAGACGACAGGATGACGTGCAAACGAATATGCACCAACAGTTGGCGCATGTGTGTGCTAAAATGCGTCAGCAAGAAATTCGGCAGGCAGGGTGGGCTGGATTCCCCTAGCCAACGTTGGACATGACCTATTCTTTGGAAGAACCATCGAATCCAAGAAGTTAGATCTAACCAAGTCACAACCAGCCCTAAAGGATCTAGGAGTTTACCCTCTAGAAGCATTCCCAACCCATCCAACCAAAGTACGCTACACTACCTACTCTATAATCTAGCTTCTATAAGTATGTTTATTGGAGCAACCTAAATACTCCCATTATTCCAATACCATCCCTTACTCCAATAAGCATCAATTTCAATCGCTATTCAAAACATAACCCCTCCTGCAAAGGATGCAGGCCACTTCAGTCTTCGCCTTGATGCCGATGCGCTCAAGATCCGCATTCAGCTTCAAGACAGGAAGGGCTTTGGTGAGCATGTCGGCATCTTGAAGGTGAGAGTGCACCGACTGCACCACAACCTCCTGCTGATGCAGTGCATCCCAAAAAAAGTGCCAAGCCACTTTAATATGCTTCGTGCGCTGATGGAGTAAGGGATTATGGGCAAGGGAAATGGCTGACTCATTATCACATACAGTAGCAATAAAATTGCCCCCCCCATCACTCACATGCATCTCAGCCAACAAGCTCCTCAACCATATAGCCCCCTTGTCCCCCTCAGACAGCGCTTTGTACTCAGCCTCAGTGCTGCTGTAGGCCACATTGTCCTGCTTCTTGCTGTACCAACTGATAGCCCCCCCACCTAGCTTGAAGAGATAGGCCGCACGACTCTTTCCATCTGCTTCACCTGCCCAATCAGAGTCGGTGTACTCAATAACTTGCTCACCACTCTGTCGCTCATACCGTATCACCTTGGTGGATGTGTTGACCAAATACCGTAGTGCTCTCGAGGCAGCACGCAAGTGAATGCCGTAAGAAATAGAGTTGAAATGATTGATTAGGTAAGGAGCCTTAGGCTCTATAAGTACATGGCAAGGTGAGAGTGAATGGATGAAGGGGGAATTGGAGGGAATCCCCATTGGGATCTCCGGAATCTCCAATTGGGTAATTGGAGATTGGGGGGATCACAATTGGGTGAGGTTGGGATTTGTGAATACACCCCAACCCACTAGAACATTCACAACCTAAACTAGGATATAAAAGTACAAATACAAAAGTGGTATTTGCAGTCTATTTCTAACACACCCCCATAGACTGCAAACCCGGTCAAGGAGCACATAGCCCCATGGAACGGAGAAGGCGATGGTGGTCAGCCTTGCCGAGAGCCTTGGTAAAGAGGTCGGCGAGGTTGCAATCTGAGGCGATGTACCGTACCGTCAGCTGGTCACTCTGAACAAGATCTCGGATGAAGAAATGACGAAGTTCGATGTGCTTGGTGCGAGAGTGGAACACAGGATCCTTGGTGAGATGAATGGCACTCTGGTTGTCACACCACAGGGTGGGCGACTGCTGGGGGTAGCCTAACTCAGCGAGGAGAAAGGAGAGCCAGCGTGCCTCTTGAGCAGCCATTGTGCCCGCGTAGAGCTCGGCCTCGCAGGACGACAGGGAGACTGCAGAGGACCGAGTGGAGCGCCAGCTGATGACTCCGCTACCAAGGGTGAAGCAGTACCCTTGGGAGGAGCGTCTGTCAGTCTGGTCATCGGCCTATGAGAAGTCTGTGTATCCCTCGAGCTTGACTGGAGAGGTACCACCAAGAGTGAGGATGTGAGACTTGGTGGCTTGTTGATAGCGGAGGACCCTCTTGGCTGCAGACCAATGCAAGGCAGTGTAGCGTCCAGGGGAGACGTACCGAGAGAGGAAACTAACCGGGTAAGCAAAGTCTGGTCGAGTGCACATCATGGCATACATGAGTGAACCGACTAGCTCAGGGCACGGGTCCTTGCAGGCGTTAGGAGAAGGAACTGGAGGGGCCGTGAGCTGATGCTGTAGTGGGAGTGGAGTGGAGACAGAGTTACTGGAGTCCATGGAGAAAGTTACTGGAGTCCATGGGAGCTGGCCTTGGAGAAAGGCGGAGGAGGCGTCCATGGACTTGATCTCGAAGTTGCCGCGAGCGGCTATATCAAGAAGAGCGCGCACAGTCGGGAGCTTGGCCGTGGGCGAGAATGTTTCGAAGAAGTCGAGATACTCCTTCTGGGTGAAACCCTTTGCCACGTATCGTGCCTTGAACAGTGGAGCTTCGCCTGGGAGTTGTTTGACTCGGAAGATCCATTTTCCGCCGACGATGTTGACACCGGAAGGGGGAACAACATCGTCAAAGCTGTTGTTGCGAATGAACGCCTCGTTCTCCACATCCATTGCTGCCTTCCACTCCTTCTTATAAGGCCCCGAGAGAGCTTCCTCTTTTGTGCGAGGAGTCAGAATGGTCGGGTTCTCGGTGAAGTTGAGGGAAGGGCAGTCAGTAATGTCCGGGAAGATGTGAGAGAGAAATTGGCAGACCGCGTGAAGGTCAAACAGCTCCTCATGCCTGTCCTCCAGAAGTGCACAGGGGGGGAATACGGATGGAGGGGACATCACCCCCGGCAGGAGGAGGCGGGGTGACCGAACACCGGATGGAGAAGGCGGCTGGTCCCCAGGCGAGAGGCGGAGCCGGTCCCTTGGAACGAGTGCGACTAGAGACCGGAGACGAAGGCGGCTGCGGTGGGACCGGAGGGACTGGGCGCCTCCGATAGGAGACTGGTGAGCCGGGCTCGACGCGCGGGGAAGGCGGAGCAGGAGGAGGTGCCGCTGCGGAGGATACTGGGGAGGCCGGGTGAGACACGCCGGACGGAGAAGGCCCCGGAGAAGGGGCAGCGGCCGGAGGTGGGGCATCAAAGTCTGCCCAAACAAGCGTCGAGGGAGGTGGAGGAGACTCGCCCGTGGTCGCAGAGTGGAATGGGCGTGTCTCATCGAAGACGACATCACGGCTGCGAATCAGCTGTCTGGTGATTGGGTTGAGGAATAAGTAGTCTGGGGAGTCAGAGTTGTGCCCCAGGTACATGCAGGTCTGGGTTTTGGGACCAAGCTTGCCACCTTGCTTCCTGCGCGTGTGGGGGCTTAGCAACACATACGCGGTACACCCCCAGACGCGTAGAGAGCGGGCGGAAGGCGTGACCCCAAGCCAGAGAGCGGTAGGTGTGGTGTCGGGCCGGTGGGGATGCAGATAAAGATTGTAGATGAGTGCCGCATGGAAGAGGGCATATCCCCAGAGTGACCGTGATGCGTTGGCGTGACTGAGGAGGCAGCGAGCGATCTGAACCAAGGTGTGGTTGCGGCTCTCTACAATGCCATTCTGCTGCGGGCTTTCGGGGAGCGTGAAGGTTTGCCGAATCCCTTGGGCCGCACAGAAGTTATCGAGTTTGCCATTGCGAAATTCTCCCCCGCCATCAGAATGGAGGCACTTCAGAGGAGTGCCGAACGTGACTTGAGCCTGGCGCACCCACGCCATGATAACATCAGGTGCCTCCGCCTTGGTATGCAGGAGGTGCACAGAAACATACCGCGAGTGGTCATCGACTAGTGTAAGAAAGTATCGATGACCGCCTTGGGATGCGATTGGAGCTGGGCCCCAGACATCCATGTGCACTAGGTCCAGCGGAGCAGCTGCGACGGATGGGGAGGAAGGGTGCGGCTGCTGCCTGAGCTTGCTCTTGGTGCAGTCAAGGCAGGTGGGTGCAGGTGAGTCTGTTGGTGGAGGAAGCGCCGACGAGAGGCCAAGAAGAAGTTTCTTGGAAGCGATGTCGGCAAGTGTACGGAAGTTGGGGTGACCCAAGCGATGGTGGTAGAGGATGGTTGGGTTGGCGAAGCTGCGACACGAACACGGAGTGGTGCTGGCAGCTTGCGCTTGGGAGAGGGCGGCGAGAGGTGCAGGTGAACGCAGCGTGTAGAGCTTGCTACTGTTGAGTGTAAAGCGTGCTAGGAGCTTGTTGGACTTAGAGTCGAAGAGGTCACAGTGATCCGAGTGTGCTGGGAAGATCGTGGTGACGCCTGCCCGTTGGAGCTCGTGTTGGGCCACGAGATTGTGGCGTAGTGTGGGAACACACATGCCGGTGACACTGCCCGAAGGAAAAGCTGGGCATGGAACTGTGGAGGAGCCCTTGGCTTGTGTTGTGAAACTGGAGTCTGCTCCAAGTAGACCAATTGGTGTCTCGTATGGCTTGAAGGAGTGGCCCCACTGTTGAGGGTGAAATCTATTGTGGCTGAGGTGCTTTGTGAGCCAGGATACTGCGAAATCGTC